GACGGTCCTCAGCCGTCGCGTGCACTGCTTCCGGTGTATGGGAAGGGGGCACGCGGCGGCACGATGCCGGGCGAAGGAAGACCGGAGCACCTTGTGCTTCCGGTGTGGGAAAATGGGGCACAGGGCGGCGGTTTGCGCTGCTCCACCTCGTTGCGCAGTATGCGCGGAGAGTGGCCGGCCATCGGGTCACGTTATGGGGAGCGGGAGGTGTGACCCCCCGGTCACCAAAGGAAAACCCGAGAGAGTGTCCTCTGAGCGCCCGGACGGACGCCCTCGGAGGGGAGGATGTCTGAGTAGCCTTGGCCGCTTGGACCCCCCATGAATGCTGTCGCCCGCCTTTCCCCCCCCTCTTCTCCTAGGTGAAGACGCGAGGAGACGTGGGCGACCGGGAGGGGGGGAGGGACGGGAAGAATTACGCTTCCCCTCCCGTTCTCCCCTCCCAGGAACGGCGCCCCCCCCACTCGTAGTTTTGTCCTACAAAGGGGGGCGGCGGAGGGTTCTTGGACGGGTACGCCCATGAGTCCCCTCCGCAGCGGATGGGGGGCGGTACGGTGGGCAGTAGGCCGCGTACCCAGCCCCCCCGCGCGGGCCTACCTGCGCACGTCTGCAGGGTCCCCGTAATACCGCGGGAGACCCCTGCCGTGGAGCCCCGGCGAGGCCGGGAAGCTGCTGGATACGGAGCCGTGGTTGAATCCCTCACGGGGACCCTGCGGCTCCGCGTTAAGCAGTGTAGAAGGTATTCGCAGGACTTTTTTAGCGGATATTATGCTGTAAAGCGCCCGTAAGAGTTGCGGGGTCCTCGGTGGGTAGCCACTAGAGGTTCCGTAAGACTTGCGGGAGCCAGGTGTGACGTCCGTTTGGCGGTGTGCCACTTAAAGGCGCCGTCGTCTGTAAAAAGATTTTTTAGCTGCGTTATAAAGAAAAAAAAAGGGGTCTCTGTGACCACACATAGGTAGGTGGTTAAAGGATAATAATAGGTGTTCTGCAGTTAAGGGTTCTTTATTAACCATTAGCTTCCCTTAATTCCAGTGGCTTTTATTTCTTGTATTAAGTTGACTTCAAAAGCACAATTTGTTTTCATAATGTTTCTGATAACTTTACCAATTATATCAATCGAGGACAGAGCCTCGACTTTTGTCTGAGAAACATGTTCCTCTCGAGGGTCCCTCGGGATTGATTGATGATTATTAGGTTCCTCAGATCCAGCAGCGTCACAAACCCCACGTACGGGTGTGTGGTCCGTTACCCGTACACGTTGTATCACGTTAGAGCAGGAATCACACTTAAAAGTACGCTTTCCCTCTCTAGACATGGCGGTTTTGGTGTTCTCACACCCATAACGATATCCTGTCTTGCATCCATTGCATTTCATTATTTCTCGTACCTCAATCTTTTTGCAACAAACAGTACAGTTCATTTTGGATATATAGAAAATTTATGTTACTCACTCAGTGAAAGCGCATTTTTCACAGAAAAATCCAAGAAGGTATGAGTGCAGTATGCGACGCAAACCACCGGCAAAACACAAGCTTTACTTTACAATTGGAGTTTAACTTTAGTCCCCATTTTGTAATATGGCTAAGTCTAATTAATCATTGCAAAATTCTTCTACTTAGTAATTTATGTGAAAGTTTTTTTATAGGCCACCGTAGACACTCTCAATATGATTGTGAAGCAACAACCTGATATCCCTTGGGAGTTTTCCGCATCGCCAACGGAGAGTATTATGCTTTTAGACCCAGAAGAGGTTAAGCTGGAGTCTACTTTCAATATTGAGAAAGTAAAGTCTGAATCGGACTTCGAGGAATCGCAAAATGAAAATAAAACAGGTAGGTATTCATTTGTCAACTTCCATGGTGTTAGTGGTATGTACACCGGTTTTTGAGGTGTCACCTACTCAGAGGTCATGGGTTCGAATTCTGGTGGGGCAAATGTTTGTATGATGAATTCGAACTATTTGCACCTAAGTCATGGTTGTTTATATATACTATTTCTAGAAAAACAGACTTGTTCTATTCATTGTATGTACCGCATTAACTGCACGGAAGCGGCACAAAACATATCTACTACATACGGTAGATATGCTCGTCGCCACAACCGCATGCAAAGCAGTCAATTGCTTTGGAATTACACCCACATTGCGCGAAACATGAGCCGTTCGTTTTCTTTGCGTTATTTATTTGGATTGCTCACACACACACCGACTAAACACAATAATGTGACAAATCAAATATCTGCAAATGAATTCGGCTATCCATTCATTGGGTACGATTATGTTAAACTGAAATCCCAACCAATCACATTGTGTTGATCGCATTTTTTTCGCCCCGCCCACTTGATAATTCGTTGCCTACAATGATGCTAAATTTTTTATTCTTCACTATCCGAATATTTTGGGGTGTATCTTCATTATGACATAATTTTGATCATAGAAACTAACCGAAAAAAATAATAATAGAAATTGAACCGAAGCTTGGTAAATATGGCCGCCTTTAACGCAAACTAAATGTTATGATAGATAGAGTATGAACAGGGTTGTCCAAATTAAAGTTTGTTAATATTTTTATTGAAAATTAACTGTAAAAAGGAACATATAATAGACTGAAACAAAAAACAAATTATTTAAAATTTAAAAAAAAAAAACTACCTAACATGGGATATTCATATATTTTTGCTACAGTTATACTATGTTATTATATCAGACATAATAAATATGATAACTAAAAGAATTTTCACGTTATCACACTTCTATGTTCATAAAGTGCTGAATATATTTACATAGCGTACTTCAACGCCCTTGTCAATCCGTGTATCGCCTTTCTGGCATAGTCCTCAATGCTAAGAAACTTTGTCTCCAGTTGCTTTAAGCCTATGTTAGCAATTCCGAATATACCTAATGCCAGTTAGCTGCATTGTGCCGTAGGTACGTCCCATCTCTCCAGCGTATAGATTCTAAAGACACATACGCCGCTTTAGCTTCCTTACGAAGTCTCTCTTCTCCGGGCGTACCCAGGCGAGATAGCTGTCATCTTCAAGGCTTTACGCCTGGACCAGGTTTCTTATGAGGTGAGGGACTCTGTCGAGCTCCCAGAGTTTCCCACGCCGTGGAGACCTTGCCGGTGATGTCTGCTTCCCTTATTCCCCAAGTGAGGGCCTATAGCTTCGAGAACTGTTCTCTATATGTTGACTTAAAGTGTCCAATCCCAACGCCTTTAGCCTTGTACGCCATGCTCCTTGCGTTGGGCGTAGATTCTTCTGTGGCTTCTCTATCTTAGGCCTTACCCATTCTAGATGTCCGAACAATTTATATGCAGTGCGGCCCATCTCAGATTCCAGTACGTCGAGGTCGGCACCCCCGAACGTGGCTGGGGTAAGCGCATATGCTGCTGCTGTTTTCGTTTTCGAAATGTTCTCAAATACGGAAATACCCTGTTCAACTCCAGCTTTAACTGTTTCACAGTCCATTGAAATAAGTACATTAGTTGTTAGCGAAAAGACAATTTTTCAGAATAGCACAAAAAATACTAACTTAATCAACAGGCAATCATGGGTCAGATTATTTCAACGACATCTGTAATCAGCTTTGCGTTTTATTCCCCATTACACGACTACCAAAAAAGGAGTGTAATTTTGCAGAATTCTTATATTTTATGAATATTTGTTTGTTGTTAGTGTCTACCGAACACGTTTTTATGACCCATCAAATAAACGATGATGATTATTATTAACAGAATGATGTAATATTACAGAAGCAAACCTGACCAATGAAATCCAAGTTGATTCTCCAACAGCGTCAAGAACAATCGAAGAAACCACAGGAGCAGGAAACGAAGACCAAAATATTGATGTCATGATAATTACAGAATACAAAAATAACGACAGTCTCTCTAAACCAACAATTTTTACAAAAAGTAGTGACGATAATAATGCGGTAAAGAACAAGCACAACAAAGTCAAAAATCATAAAGAAAATTTGACATGCGATATCTGCAAAAACATATTTTTTTGTAAAAGAAATTTAGAAAGTCATATAACTAAATTTCATACTGAAATATCCGTCATAGCTAAACACAATTGTACTGAGACTAATAAAAACTGTAATGATAATAAAACCAAATTGGAGAGCATTATTGGTTCTGTAACGAGAAGCAACCGTGGACATTCGATAAATAAACGCGATATTAAGACTGATATAAAAGAAAACCCATATAATTCTACTATCTGCGACAAAAGATTTACTCAAAATTGTAATTTAGCCACACATCAAAGAACTCACACGGGAGAGAAACCTTATAAATGTAACGTCTGCGATAAAAGATTTACTGCAAGTAGCGATTTGTCCAAACATCAAAGAATTCACACGGGAGATAAACCTTATAAATGTTACGTCTGCGATAAAAGATTTACTGCAAGTCTCGAACTGTTCACACATCAAAGAATACACATGGGAGAGAAACTTTATAAATGTAATGTCTGCGATAAAAGATTTACTAATGGTAGTAATTTATCCAGACATAAAAGAATTCACACGGGAAAGAAACCTTATAAATGTAACGTCTGCGATAAAACATTTACTACAAGTTTTTATTTATCCTCACATAAAAGAATTCACATGGGAAAAAAACCTTATAAATGTAACGTCTGCGATAAAAGATTTACTCAAAATAGTAGTTTAGCCAAACATCAAATAATACACACAGGAGAGAAACCTTATAAATGTAACGTCTGCAATAAAAGATTTACTCAAAATAGTAGTTTAGCCACACATCAAAGAACTCACACGGGAGAGAAACCTTATAAATGTAATGTCTGCGATAAAAGATTTACTAATGGTAGTAATTTATCCAGACATAAAAGAATTCACACGGGAAAGAAACCTTATAAATGTAACGTCTGCGATAAAACTTTTACTAGAAGTTTTAATTTATCCTCACATAAAAGAATTCACGCGGGAGAAAAACCTTATAAATGTAACGTCTGCGATAAAAGATTTACTCTAAATAGTAATTTATCCACACATCAAAGAATTCACACGGGAGAGAAACCTTATAAATGTAACGTCTGCAATAAAAGATTTACTCAAACTTTTCATTTATCCACACATCAAAGAACTCACACAGGAGAGAAACCTTATAAATGTAACGTCTGCGATAAAAGATTTACACAAAATAGTAGTTTAGCCAAACATCAAATAATACACACAGGAGAGAAACCTTATAAATGTAACGTCTGCGATAAAAGATTTACTACAACTAGTAATTTATCCTCACATAAAAGAATTCACATGGGAAAGAAACCTTTTAAATGTAACGTCTGCGATAAAAGATTTACTCAGAATAGTCATTTAGCCTCACATCAAAGAATTCACACGGGAGAGAAACCTTATAAATGTACCTAGATAATAATATGTGATAAACAAATATTAACCATTTATAAGCCATTTCTATCAAGAACATCGAAGAATTCACACGGGAAAGAAAGTGAGCCAACGCGCACTTGGGATTTGTGATCGACCAATAATTTAGTCGTTATCGTACGATAACCAATCACCGAAGTATTGTTAATACTTCAATCTCATGGTGTATGATTTCAGAGGGACCAAACTGAAACGCGTCTTAAGCGCAAAGGCGGCCCGCTTCCTCGCTTTTGCAGGACTACATTTATCTGTCGTGTTGTGCTGTGACTAGGGCTTTCAATACCGGTATTCCGGGATCCCGTAATACCGTAATCACGGTTTTTTTATTGGTATTTTTCAATACCGGTATTGATCAGTCAATAACGTGATTTTACGGTATTACAAATCAACAATTTTTTATTAGGGTTATATGAATAGAAAGACGAAATGTTAAGCATGAACGCGAGTGAGATAAACTGAGGAGCTGGCGCACAAAACGGAATAATTACATATATAAGGTTTTCACCATATAATACTTATTAATTATATATTAAAAGCTGATATTGCTTTAAAATTTATGTTAACAAAATTAGATGGACAGGCTAATGAGATGAGCCCAAACCTTGCAAAGGCACTTCGAAAACGTATAAAAGAGCGACGTTTCTCCATATATCTGGAGTGTTACAATACTTGCATGACCCTGAAGCTTATTTAAGTGCTAATGATAGCGAAAATGACATTTTCAAAAGACTAACATCTGATGAATTGCTTAAAATTATCGTTAATTTACTGACTCGTTTGAAATACAAAATAAACAACTGAATACCGCAGCAGTTATTGAGATGGTTGCTAGTGTTGCTACAGAAGAACCTTCTACTTCATCGTCATCGTTAAATACAAGTGTTGAAGATGACGATGCGTCCACCCAGAAACAGTTGGAGAGGGAAATATCCAAATTACCTAAAAGTACAACTGCAACTACAGGCACTGATTTTGAATCAATAATAAGAGTGTGTGTCTTCGAAACCAGTGGGGGCGGTCGAGAAATATTTTTATCTGCAGCTTACAAATATTTACGTGCTTTTTCTTCGGTCAGCTATTTATGCAACAAATTGAGAAGTTCGCTATCTGATAAACCATTAAACACTCTGTCCTTTTTAAGATCACACTTAATCTTAAGATGATATTGATTTTATTTATCGTTTTATTTTCGATTCTTTTGAATATTGTTATTTAGTATTTTTTTATTAGTAAATATATAAATAGTACAAAGTAAATGAATAAATGATTGTTAAGTAATTTACCTATTTTTTTTTAATGTTGTTTGCCATGCGAATTTTAATTATTGGGACGGCATTTTTGTTGTATTTTTTTCTTTATTTTAATAGTATATCTTTTGTTTAATAAAAAATTATGGATCTAAATTTCTTAGTTCCGCCGAACTATTTATTAATAAAAGACTACCCGGGAAGGGTAGAAAAAATAATGTATATTTAATATTTTGTTAGCCTGTTTTTCATGTAGGTACCTATGTAACAGAAATAAACACTGATTAGAAATAAAACGGGCGTTTTAATATTCTTTGATTTGAAGTTCATATTCAATACCGTGATCCCGTGATCACGGTATTGAACATGCTAATACCGGTATCGAAAAAATCCGGTATTTAAAAGCCCTAGCTGTGACTCATCAGAGAGCTATCTGTTTCATACATTAGAATGATTACAGTAAGAACGGCGTCAACACATCATATATAGTTAAGACTTTATTCACACCAACATGCACACATACAAAATTGACAAGACAAATTTTACAATAGGGAAGATGCAATATTTTTATTTTTGTTTTCATTTTAAAGAATTCCATGTAGAATAAACCACAGATATATTAAAAAATTAAAACATTGTGATTTATCGGAAAAAATGCGGTTTTAAATTGACAATTTAAATTTTCGTAGCCTATGTGTTAATCCAGGGTGTCAGCTTACTCCATACCAAATTTTATTACAATCGCTCCAGCCGTTTAGACGCGAAGAAGTAACAAACATACACACATACACACTCACAAATTTTCGCTTTGATAATATTAGTGTCATAATGTTCCAAAAATTGCTAAAAGCGCTAGCGAAAAACATCAACCGAGCTCGGCATCGAATTACCGATCTTTTGGTATCAACCCTAAGACCGACTTCGTTCAGCTATCCGTCTATTGCGTGCGACGTGCTACAAAGTTACACCTACCTACCTATCTCGTGTCAAATACTCTACTTCCATATACTCTACTTCCGTTTCATCGAATCTCAAGTCGCAACGATACTAAAGAAGTATTTACTTCAAAATATTCATAGGTTACAAACCTTTTGGTTAGAAAAATCTTCGCGTCCTGTAACAATGATGGCGTGTGTGATTCTTTTATGACTGATGGTATTAGTGATAATTGTAGTCGTAGGTCCATAAATAAATATTTTGATAAATTTTCTTCATTTTGTAATTTTAAATGAAATTATTAGTTGGCAGTTAGCACATCGAATTCACAAAACAACGATAGCGATCACTTACCATCAGTAGCCTTACCATGAACCATTATCGAATTCGAATAGTTTGCGAGTCCGTAATGTCATTGTCATATTTTGTAAACGGACGTAACGAGAACTAAAAATCAGTACACATTTGATAATGAAATTTCTTCCTCGAAAACGATATTGGTTCGTGCTAAGGGTACAATGAGCCGTCTGCTCGTTTGCCCCCTATTTACTATATATAAAAACAGTGGTGTCGATTCCGGCATGATTATCTAAACTTAAAACTAAATTTAAGATCAGTCTCCTTTTCATTTTGAACGGACTATGACAAGGAGACAGTCAAATTTAAGTTTAGATTAAGAGAATCATGCCAGAATCGATACCACTATCAACATTGTCATAATAGGTTAAGTACTTGATCTAATACTCTTATATATTTTTGTTATTTTTTACCAAAAAATTCTGTCATATTTTTTTATAATTATAATGTAACCTCTGTTATTATAAATAAATACTAGATTTTCGCCAAAGTTTTTTTAGTTGTAGTTAGTACCTAAAACACGATGAGGAATAATCGGTTTGCGTTGAGTAAAATAGCATGTTAAGGTTTTTCTTCATCAGTACAGCACGAATAAATAAAAGGGACATAATAATAGTTTTGATGTGGCAAAAAATTTAAGAGTCCTTTCACATTTTTTGCAATAAATCACGTTTTTTGAGCACCTCATTTATCCCCTTAGAAGAGATTTTGAGTATTTCCAATAGAAGTATACAATAGATTTATTCTTCCTTTTGTAAGTTAATGTAGAATATTTGCAAATACTATTTACCTTTTTTTGTACTGATCGTTCTACCGCAGCTAGTTTACGGAAAAACGATAATAGGCACAACTTTAAACGCCTGAATCTCTCAATAATGTTCAATAAATTAGATCAAATTAATTACTGCGACATCAAAAATATGTTTTTGGTGTAACAAAATGTATTAGAATCTTGCTTTTCCATCTCATTAATTATTAAAAAAACATGTAACTTCCGTGAGTTTTCTCAAAAAATAACGCAGGTTTACCTCGTATTTTGATATTGAATTATATACAATTACTATCAAAAATTTTTATAGAATTAATCTACAATCATTAAACTACTGAAATATGTAATTATATTTTTAGTTCATTAATAATTATAAGACTTAAAACATCCGTAAAATGCAATATATACTAGTGCAAATCTACGCTCCGCCGTTCAGTACGGCATAGCTTGCTAAATATAGTATATAGTGATCTGTAGCGTACCCCTCCGGCAACTCCGATTTGTCAATTTAGACATGAGTCTAAATTCACAATAAATGATTATTGTGAATTAAAAATAATTGTTAGTGAAACCTGTTTTTCCCAAAAGCTTAAAAATATTCAATAATGACTCGTTTACAAGCATGCAGAGTATGCTTGACACATCATAGCCGTATGTATTCAATATTGAATGGGCCACTTCAAGAGATTTATGAAAATATCACTGATGTTTTGGTAAGATCTCTCATCTCTGAACCTGATTGCCACTCAAGATGGTCAGCTCACCTGTTTCTAACTGCTGCAACATAGATAATCAGCCCCTGGACCATATCTTTTTCTTTTGCGGTTCATTTCAAGTACAGAGAAATATGCTGTTTCAAGACCTTCGAAGTACTTTTGGCGAAGAAACCATCCCGCGCGATTTGAGAAAACTTTTACAAAATAAAGACACCTACATTCCTTTGTACAAATTTGTAAAAGCTACAATCAAGACACTAAGAAAGAAAAGTTAACAGACAGGGCTGTATGGACTCAGAATCCTTTGCCCGTCCCAACAGGAATAAATTGACCAAAAAAAAGAAGAAGAAGATCCCTGTTTTATCCCGGCTGTTGACTGAAAATATACAAATATGTCTCGTTTACAAGCATGCAGAGTATGCCTGGCACATCATAGACGTATGTTTTCAATATTGAATGGGCCACTTCAAGAGTTTTATGAAAATATCACTGAAATTCCGGTAAGATCTCTCATCCTTGATTGCCACAGTATTGGTCTCAATAATTCGTTTAATTAATTATTCATTGCGGCTCTTTTAAATATAAATGAAATAATGGTGATGGTGACCAAAGTGGTTTTGGAAACCTAAATGTTTCTGGACAAAACGGTAACTATAGTAGCAGCACGCTTTAGGATGGACGTTTTGACATATGCCCAGGAAGTCTCATAACCGCAATTCGAAATTCGTTCCTTAATTGAAAGAAATAGTTATTGCTCTTCATTGTCATTAGAGAAGTGCATTTAGTCATAAAATTTAACGATTCAGCAGCACTAAATTAGTGTGTGCAA